CACCATTATAGTCAGTCAGAAGCGTTTGTTGTTTTCTAACCACATTTACATGCTGCTGGATTCATTAATCGTCTCCAGAGGGTGACAGAGCAGGCAATCAGATACGTCACCCCATTGCTCTGTTTATCACTTGGACCTCTGCCTTTCCACCACACATCCCTCTCTGCTCTGCTTCACAGTTCCAGCCTTCATCACATGATACCCAGCTCTGTATCGTGTGAGGTTTTTGTTGTTTACAGTTGCCACAGCGCCATTTGTTGTCCATCATCATCCAGCAAAATCTAATGACACCACAAGACAGATTTCTTGCCTTTCTTTACTCCCATCAATCCGCCCTCCCTCGTCATTTTGCTGCTCATGTTTGCAACAACACACACACACACACCACTTCATGTCAAAGACAGTAGTTCTAACGCAGCTGCTTCGTGTTACTGGGTTTGTGTAGGGCTGGGTTGTGCTGCCACCATACAGTGATAAAACAAGTTGTCCAAAGTGTTCAGTCTCCACTGATGCAGGAACTAGAGAGAGGGGGTGGGATACACACACACACACACACACACACACACACACCCACACACACACACGCACGCACACACACACGCACACACACACACATACTGTAAAACTATCCAGACGTTGAGGAAAGTCTGTCTCTGACTGTGTTTATACTTGAGATTTGGTTTGGTTTTAGCTTGTATGCCAACTACAGTTGTTCAGTGATGAAGTGGTTTGATAATTACAGAGATAGATTCTGTTTTACTTCATTTATTATTCTATATTTCTAGTTTGTTCAGTGAGATTTGCAAAAACAGCTCCGCTCCCGCTCAGATTTTCATTATTCTCCCTGATTCTGTGTTTCTTCACACGTTACCACTTTCTGCTCGTCGTCTCCTCCTGTGATTCACCTTTGACCTTTTCCTCTCTCCCTGTAGGAGGAGAGGGCCACTGTTGTGGAACAATGACTTTGTTTCACTCCTCCAAGTCTGAAACTGAGCTTCAAGCTGCTGAATCAGCTGGTCCATGTACACAGCATAAAGGGGTAATCTGATTATGAGATAGAAAACATATATAAGATAATAAAATAAACATCCAGACCTTGGAGGAAGCATGAAATGATCAAGAGTGGAAACGTTAAACAAACTGTTTTTATACACGCGTCAAATCTCTTCTCGTCCATAAACCTTCTCTTGTCCCGCCCATAACTTATGATCCGCTCAAGAAAATTTAATAAAATGAGTGTCATGTACACTTTTCATAACTTCAGCTTCAAGGTCAAGGTAAAAATTAAGGTCAAGGATATAACTAGGTGTTTGCTCTTCTGGGCCATTGCTATAGCTTGCTGTATAATGTTTGTCGACGGGCGTATAATGTGTCGGATGCTGTACTCTTGTTGTTAAATGTTAAGAATGGACTACTTCAAGACCTTTTGTTGCTTTGCTTGGCAAAATGTTTAAAGGGGTCGTTCAGATAGTTAGATAACTTTGAAATAGCAGAGTTAGAGAATAATGTTTAATTCTGACCATATTGATGAGCTAATGTTTAATCAGATAGGGGCCAAGACCAAAGTCTCTGCCTTCTGAAAAAAAAAATCACAATCGGGTCATGCAAATACTTTTTCTTATATTTGTACATCACCATACAGCTTGCATTTCATTGTTATTTTTGCAGAAATGTGAGGATATTTCTGCCAAAAGTGTCTCAGTCTGCACTGGAGGTACTACAGCTAGCTGCTGCTGCTGCATCCACACTATTTGAACATGCAACAAACAACAACATATATCACTGCTTAAATAACTAGTGCAAAACAGACAGTGGTTTGACATGCATTCAATAATGTTTGCATAGATCGCTAAAAACCCTTTGAGGTTTGAGTTGTTTTGATGACAGCAATCAATTTTGCTCAAATTAACAGCTGATCATTCATGTCAAAATAAACCCTGTTTCTAAACTGAAGTAATTAAAAAAAAACTATCTCCAACAGGTAAGATATTAATAGTTTATAACTTTTGCATTAAAAAATCACTTTAAAATTTTCTTAATACTTGCTTTAAATCTCATAAAGGAGTGGAGGCAGAGAGGGGGTTCAGATTTAAATTCTAAAACTACAATCCTGCAGAATTAAATTCAGTTCAGTTTATTTATAAAGCACTGTCACAACAGAAGTTGTCTCAGGGCACTGAACAGAGAAACATTCACATAGGTTAAAAAAGCCAATTAGTAAAAGTTGCATATTTAAGGAAGCCAGCAGATTGCGTTGAATCTTAACTTAGTTGCAGTCTCCCATCTTGAACAAGCACAGTGGTAACAGTGGAAAGGAAAAACTCCCTTTTAACAGGAAGAAACCTCAAGGAGCACCAGGCTCAGGATGAGCGGCCATCTCCTTCGACCGGCTGGGTTTGAGAGGACAGGAAGGAGAAACAAATGAACACAGAATGAAAGGTCCAGATGTTTTTTCTTTTGGGAGAAAGACAAAAAACACATGTTGAGGATAGAAGTAATTACAAATACAAACAGTTTGAGTAGAGCAAGTAAAGACAGCTGCAGAAAGAGGAAATGAGGTCAATTTGTCCTCCAGCAGTCTAAGCCTTTATCAGCATAACTAAGAGATAGCTCAGGAAACCCAAGCCAACACTAACTATAGGATTTATCAAAAAGAAAAGTCTTAAGCCCAGTTTTAAAACTGGACAATGTGTCCGCCTTATGGACAGAAACTGGAAGTTGGTTCCACAAAAGATCTTCCTCATATTCTGCTTTTGGAAACTCTAGGAAACCTGCAGTCTGAGAGTGAAGTGCTCTGTTAGGAAAGTATAGAACTAAAAGATCTGTAATATAAGATGGAGCTAGGTTGTTGAGAGCTTTGTAGGTTATAAGTAGGATTTTAAATTCTATTCACAAGCACTGTGACACTGTTGGGAGGTGGAAGTTCTGCTAAGTCAAAATCCAACCTCCGCAGAACTTGGAGTAATTATTGTTCTTTCATGGAAAATAAATAAGGTAATCTTAAGTTAGAGATATTTGTGCATATTTGTGAGCAAATGGTATATTACATATGGACCAGGTCACCTCGTTTCCAGCTTTTATTGGTAAAAGGTGTGAAAATCAGGATGTCTTCATCAGAACTGATGATGCTCAACACGCCCACCAATGATCCAGAACAAGTGAGTGTTTCACTGTTGACATGTGACACGAGCTAAAATGTTGCACATATTCTGACTGAAGTGTGTGTTTTAGCTGATGGACTCTATGTCAGAGTGTGTAATTCAGAGTGTGTGTTTCAGCTGA